TTATTTGTATCAATTGTCATATATATATATATATTTATATATATATAAAGAGAGAGAGAGAGAGAGATGAAAAATCAAACATAAATAATGGAAATGTTATAAATCAATCTCATTCATTCATCTAGTCTGATGAATATTTAGTTTGATAAATAAATCGATAGTTTCTTAATATAAAACGTTGATTATAATAAATTAATTTTAATCATTTTTTATAAATATTTAAATCAATATAAATAAACCATCATCTTAAGTACCAAGTCCACCAATTATTCTATTTGTTTCTCATACTATYAAAATTGAAAACTATAAAAAAATGTATTTTTCAATTTAATTGAAATTCAAAAAACTTAATTTTAAAGGATATAAGTAATCCTTCCGTCAAATTAAAATGCTAATATTTGTTTGAATGTCCAATTTTAATTATAAGTTTTTAATTTCTCTTTTTTTTTCTTTCAATTATTAGATAAAGAAAATAATTTAAAATATATTGTAATAATACATTCTTATAAAACCATTCGTCTTTTTTATTATAAACATTTATAATAATAATAATAATAACCTCTAATTATTGAAAGAAACAACACAACCATCACATGCTTTTAAATAAGACCATCAACTTTTGGTGCTCAAACAAATATTACCCATATTTTTATATAACATAGAAATCAAATATTTATACATTGGTCCCAAATGTACAACTTGTTACATTACAAAAGTAGCTACAAGATTTTTCCATATAAACCCAAAACAAGACTTGTAAACATAACAAGTTCTCAAGTACAAGTAATATAACATCTTTCAAAATCCATGCATGTAAAGAAATTATGATTCCTTTATAATTTCCCTTTCCCCTTATCTTTCGGCTGTGTCCGATCTGTAATGCATATTTTAATAGACAAAATGAAGGTTAGACCATGAGGTCTAGTGAGAAATTCATTTTGATTGTTATTACAGAGTGAAAATCATCAAAATACTTTTATAAAGCCCATATTTGTATTGATAACAAATAAACAATATTTATCAAAACAAACATTTTTGTCGGATCATATAGACGAGACAACCTCCTTTTTATAACATTAACCCATGAAATACCAAAGTCATCGAATTAAACATAAAAAATACCAACTTGTCGCATCATATAGATGCGATATAAATTTTCTCGCATCATAAGGATACAATTACCTTATTTTTCGCATCACACTGATGCGATAACCTCACATTACCACATCATACTAATGTGATAACCCCATTTTTTGCATAACAAGGATACGATAAAGCCAAGATGTTTGTACAATCAATTATTAAAAGAAACAACGCAAGATGTTTGTACAATCACATGTTTCGGTCCTTTTCATCCTCTCTACCTTTTGCATATTTCCAATTTTTCTATTTCTTCTGTTTTATTTATTTTATTTTATCATTATAAAAATAATTAAATTATCTTACATTAATTTATTACTATTGAATGGTTGTTTTTTGATATATTTCAAAATATTGTTATAAATAAATATTATAAAATACCAACTATACCTTAGAATTTCTAAATCCAATATTTTTACAATTAAAAACTTTCGGTTAAAACAAATGCAAACGTGAAATAAAATTTGATTACAAATATCATTAAATCCCGTAAATTAAAAAAAAAAAGTCCTTAGACATGTGATAATTGTACTCTTAGAAAATAACAGGTTCTTTTCATCAACTTTTAGAAAAACACGTTTTATTTGTTTAAATTAAATTTGAGGTATTATATATATCAACTTTAACCCAAACCCTAGACAAATTAAACCTAACTTGAAATCATAATCTTTAATAGCAAAATCTTAAGATTAGTTCGTTAACAATACGTTAAATCAATTAGAATCGTAGTTTTTCTTACTCCCATGTTTTATTCTTATTAATTTTAAATTGAAACCAACGACCAATAATAATAATGATCAGTAACCATATCGATCATTCCTATCAATTGATTTTGTTCGTACCCATATATAGTTAATTCTAACCCAAAGTGAAATTAATCGATAACCTTAATTGAGCATAATCAATGAACGACAATTCACGTTGATCGATCACTAATGGATTTTAACATGAAAATGCATATGGTTTTTAATTATTTAATGAATATTATCATTCGAAAAAGGGATTTACAATCCAAGTAATTCATGGATGATCTGGTTCCACTATTGTTTTGATGAAACTTTTATCTTCAAATGTTTGATGCATATATAATTGGACCATATCAAATAAATATGTGGATCTACTTTATATACCATCAGATATGACAACAAAATATCACCAGTAGCTCCTCAAGTTATATTGGCTCAATGGAACATTTTGATGTTGCTGAATAATTTAATGGTTTGAATATCATGTGGAAGTTGGATGCATCCTTGACTCCGTGGGATGCACCAAACGGAAGAGAAGGTTGAAACCGATGCTCAAATTTTTGTGACAATTCTATTAAAATCGTTCCATTTTAAACTTAAATAATCATAGTCGGTTTTATATTAAAATTATCTATTAAATGTGAATGATTGCAAGAATAATTAGCGGGCAAATAACTGCACATCACTTACAATGTAACTGCTTACATTACACGTATCAGAAGTCAACTCAGAAGCATTTGAGAGCCGGAAGAACTTTAGAGGCTTCTGAATTTCACTTTATGAGATACTTTTAATTGCTAATGTGGTTCAGAAGTGTTAAAAATATATAATGACTAGTTGTGTACCCGCGCAATGCGGCGGGAGCCATGAATTTTAACGATTTGGAAGTTCCACTGGTTTTATAAAATAAGATTTAACGATGATATAGGTTACACTTGGTTTTTACATATTAATACAATTTGAATAAATAAGAGTTATGGTTCCAATTACAGACTATCGATGAAAAAAATTGTATGACAGTTTAAAATTCAATATATTTAAAATCCAACATATTTAAACGACTCCACAAATGTATTTGATTTACACCAAGAGCAAAGAACCAAGAAGAGTTTTAAGATAAACACTCAAAACCAATAAAAAAACTACAAATTTGACAGATCATAAGCCATGAAAAGACAAAAAAAAGATGGGTTTTAGAATGAAATTTCAACTGCTTACCCTCTTTTTTGTCCAGAAACTCAGATTAAGGTTGAATTAATACATGTATATATATATATATATATATATTCAAAAAAAACCCAAAAACATATTATACAGTGCAATTTGGACAGCCTAACCCCAAAATATATAATATATATATATATAAATAAATAACTATAAAAGTATAAATCGTAAATATTAAAAATATTTTTTCACAGTATATATAATATATAATAATATAATTAAGTCAAAAACTATTCAATATTGGACTCATTTCGAACGTATTAACGAGACGATTATAATGGTGTAACTTGTTAAAATAAAAATGTATTTTTTAAACATGTTTTAATTATAAAAGCAGTGGCTAATGTGGTGGTACGAAACACTTTTTAAGGGGAGTTCTAATGGCAACCCCTTTGATGTCAGAATCAGGTTATTCAAGCATTGAGAATGTAAAAAGCATGTATTGATTTTGATGTGTGTGAGGAAGAAATTCATGGATAGGAGTGCATTAAGCAATGCATAGGGGTGCATTTAGCCCACCCCTTTTTAATTGAAAAATATATGATATTATATAATTGCAAAAGTTGACGTGATAGTTTTGAAAGATGACTGTTATTATAAAAGTTGACGTGATAGTTTTGAAAGATGACTGTTATTATAAAGGTTGACGTGATAGCTTTTGTTTCAATAATGAGATCTAGATTTAAGTTGGTTTAGAGTTGATATTTTAACAATGATTTCTATTAACAATCAAATACTAGCGAATTTAATCAATGCTATTAATAATGTGCTTCAGTTGTGGGAGCTAATTTATCAACTTACTTAATGTACAAGGATTCGACCCGACCAACCGAGCGCCTCGTCCCTATGTGCGTGATCGGAGTGGTGTTCAACCATCGAAATAGAAGACCAATCAACCCAACTAAAAAAAACCAAAAAACCCTATATATATGATTTTGTTTAGGTAAATGGTTTCCGTCTTTTAATTTAGAGTGAAGATTGATATGTTAACCTGGTGGAACTCAATATATAAAATGCTTGAAGGTTTATTTCATTAAAAAAAAACGATATTGCCATTTTATAATTTCAAATCGTAAGAACACGACATTGGCAACAACGATTAATAGTGTTTTTGCACTTGGGTCACGTGAGACCCGTAAGACTACTTTTTACACGTGAAACTTCATAGTGTTTTTGATGTGAATGTTCGATTTTTTTTTGCCTTCACAGCGTTTTGCTGTGAAGTTTCAAGTGTAAAAAAATATTCTCACGGGTTTCACAAAAATAGGCTAGTCTCACGTGAACTCAACCAGAGGCGGATCCCTATAGGGGCCTTTGGGGGCCATGGYCCCCCCGTTTTTATACATAAATATTATAACTAAGGTATTAAAAACATATACATTAAATAGCTTAGTTGGCAATGTTGCTCAACCTGCATACTTGAGGTTGCTGTTTCAAATCCCATCCCAATCAATTTTTTTGAACTTTATATAAATTATTAATATTTAATTTTATATATTAGTTTTTATATAATATATAATTATATGTAAATATAAGTTTTTAAAGTAAATTACACCGGTATTACTATTTCTCGGTTAATACTTTGAATATTTAAGTTTTTAGAGTAAATAATATAATATATTAATTATATGTAAATAATGTTTAAATTGATATTACTATTTTTCTGTTAATACTTTGAATGTTTCGAGTTTTAATATTACATTAATCAATCTTTTTCTAAAATTTAATAGTCTAAAAACAAATTATTTAGATTTACAAATTTTTACAATAATATTGCATCTTCAACATATTCTTCAAAAAAATTCCAAAATGGATAATTAAAACTCTATTAAAACCAGACTCGAGCTCCCCGCCCCAACCAATCTCCCATTGGCAGGAAAGTCGTTTCGATCCAATCCATTCTTGGGATCAAATAAAGACAAAAAATGATATGTTTTCTCTCATTGTAATCAATTTTTGTTTACACTCTCTCATGTTTTCTCCGTTTTGGAGAATTTTGGAGAGTCTGTTGTAGCAAAAATATGCCTAAAATCTCCATTTTCTCAATTTTGAAAAATCTATTGAAGATGCTTTTATATTTCGGCCCCCCGGACTACAACGGTTGTGTTCCGCCCCAGAACTCAACCCTATATATATATATATATATATATAATTGATTAAAAATAATCTCATAACTATAAAGTAGTTGTTAATGTGACACTTTATACGAACCACTATTGATTGAAAAATGTATATAGGGATAACTGCAAAAGCTAATTAGACAGATTTAGAAGATAACTAGTGTTGCATTGTTCTCGATGGCTTATATTTAAATGTTGTCGACTCAGATTATTCTATTAATTACTAGAAAGACTTTCAATGATGACACATTTACAGTATCATTTATGGACTACGACGGAATTTATGAAAATAGAACTGTTAATTTAGAAAGAGCTCGTATTACGTCTAGAGGACGAGATGATTCTTCCCATTATCTATATACTTATTTAACGGACACTACAAGCAAAAGTAAACAAACAACTCCAGATTTAAAAAAAGCAGGTATGTATATACAATCCCGATTAAATACACGTCAATTAATTATTGGCTATTAATTAATTAATGTAGATCTTGGATTGGATTAAACAACAAGGATAATATATTAGATTTAGCCAGTTGTGGACGACCATACCCGTCTCCTTGAGAGTACATGAATGGTGCCATCCTAGCTAAGTTTGTTGCACACTCGAATTCCATTAAAAATTCACAAGTAGCTGCAGCACCTGCTCGTTCTTTGGTAAGTTTCTTCCATGTCTTGTTGATTAACGACTTCATATAATTTCTAGCTTCGTCTTCAGTAGCACCAGTCTCATGCATGTAACATTGGATTGATTTTGGGTTATCCCCTCTTGCCATTTCGTCCTAATAATTAATTATATTTAGTTAGTATTATATATTTGAAACAAAATACGATCACTGAATTAATAATGACAAAATAATATATATTGTTATTAGTAAGTATAATAAAGAAATTAACAATTATGTACGTACCGAGGATGTCCCCAAGTCATCAGCAAGTCGCAAGATGAGTGCTGAGTAGTGAACTATGTTAGCAGATCTCTGTATGCATTGTTGAATTTCTTGGGTTGAAGTATAATTAGATGTTAAGAAATTGCAATGCATGAGGCCTACAGGAACCGATATCGATACACTAGCATTATGCAAGTACTCTTCTAATGTTGGTATATATCCACTTTGGTACCATTGTGCTTCTAACAGATATGCGTTGCATAAATCTACCCACTGCAATGTTGATTATTACCATCAATACAATATATATTGTATACATATAAAGAAAATTATATATGAAAAATAATAGATTGAATATTAATTATTAAAGTTATTATATATATATATATATATATATATATATATATATATAAAGATGGATTAGTTACTGCTTTCTTTAGGTAGGGAAGAATGAAGACTCCTGAGTTTGAGTTTGCGAGTGTGTTGTATGCCATCTCATTGATCACGTTGAAGGATCCAAGGAAACATATCTTCATATAATCTGGGAGTTCTTCAACCGCATTGATATCCCACCTACCCATTCCAGTTTTCTTTTATCAGATCGATCTCATCATGAAGTTATATGTTTATATTATATATATATAGAGAGAGAAGGGTAGGTTCATACAAGAATGATACATATTTAAGAAAATAAGAAAATGGTCAAATTGCACGGAAAATCGCATATGATTAGGAATGGCAACGGGCCGGGTTCGGGACGGTTTTTAGAGTCCCCGTCCCCGAAACCGATAACCATAACCATCCCCGTAACCGTCCCGATCCCCATCGGGGATCCCCGCGGTTTCCCCGATCCCCGTTGGTAACCCGTTAAGAACAGAATAACCGTTACCCATTGGTTTTACCCGAACCATAACCCGAACCCGAACCAGATCTGAAAAAACATATATTTATCAAGCAAAAAATTGGAATAAAAACATAATTAAATAAACCTGTGTGGCTGTTTCTTGGACAACCCATTTTCGAACAAAAACATAATCAAATAAACCTTGAGAAAAAGACAATGTCCATAATATCGAGTACATGATCAACCCATGATCAACCAAAAACGTCTTAAATTACAATCCCAAAATAAACCAAAGTTTAGACATAATCCAACTAACTCGTAATTTATAAAATTTAAATATATTATATATACTATCGGGCCGGGCCGGGCCGGGTCGGTGAGTACCGTCCCCGTCCCCGTCCCCGATATAATCCTCGAAACTCTCCCCGATCCCCGCCCCGTACCCGTTAAGAGGTCCCTGAACCCGACCCGAATTGTTCGGTTTTCGGTTTTCACCGTCGGTTTCGGGTTTTTTTGCCATCCCTACATATGATTTAACATTAACGGCCAAAAAAGTGTGCAGGCATGACAAGGTCGCGTGAATCACATGTGATTTTGTACGTGATGTAATAAAACAATTTTCTTATTTTCTTAAATATGTACAATTCTCGTATAAAACCGAATCATATATATATATATATATATATATATATATGTATATAACTAGCTATTTAATTAGTCAATTAGTTTTAAACATGGGTAAATTGTTCAAGTTCATCCAAAATACCTGGTGATAACATCGGTGAATTGTTGAAGTTCATCCAAAGTACCATAGATATCATAGATATCATCAATAGCAGTAATTATGGCGTTAACCTTTGTTAGTGTTCTCCTTCCCAGACTAAAGTTTGGTAGGGACCAAACACCAATCGTCCACATATACCCCTCCACCAACCGGTCTCTTGAAAAGCTCAACTTCTTATCCCAGCATGTATTTCTCCACCACCTATATTATATATATATATATATATATAGTGAGAGAGAGAGAGAGAGAGAGAGGGGGGGGGCATATATATATCTTGATTAATTAGTGATGTATATAATGGATGAATGAATGGCTGATTAATTAAGTCGTAATTTATAAGAAATAAATGATACCTGGATGACTCTTTTAAATCTTGAAGGTTGATAGCCTGGACCATGTTAAAATCCAATATTGCAAGCTCCATCAATGTGGGACTAACGATTTCCCTGTATGCTTCGATAAACCACTTGGCCTCTAACCTTGCTATTCTCCAATGCAGTGGAAGCTCCAATGCATGATTTATTAATGACCCTAAACTACTACTTCCATCAATCCTATCTACACTTTCTTTTAGATATTTTGTGGTGAAGTCTCTCGCATCATCCAAGATGCTTTCATCCTCGAATGAATGATAAGAAGCCTCGTACAGGTTCAGCATTCCAACCACATGATTGTTATCCTCGTCTGATTGTGGTTTATCATTTTCAGCCTTCACCTTAAAGTTGAGAAACATCTCTGCAGATATCTCACAATCAAAATCAAATAATTAAAGAAAACAACTATTAGTTTGTGCTTTAACATAATCTGAACTACATGTACGTGTCATTTTAGTTATGAAACTTCCCTTCTTTTGGATATACATACATATATATATATATATATATATATATATATATATATAATCTTTAATATTGAATATGGATATTTAACTAATCAAGTTAATTTGTACCTTGAGGAACATGATGACCATGTTGTCTGAGTAGTCGAAAGCCAAGGGCTTTAAGGTTCATATCCATTCCATTCCACTGCTCCTGAGTTTTGTAGTAATCATTGTAAATCATCTCCAACACTTGACTTATTTCTTCCTCAAAGTGATATGATATTCCGAGTCTCTGCAAATTGTCAACCAGCTCAAGGGTCTTCAATGGATTTCCCACTACTTCCTGTATCATCGTCTTCACTGATTTCTTCAAACTATCTACTCTTGCCTCGTAATCCTCTCCCTACATGTGTAATAAATTAAGTTATATATGAGCAGAAATGTTCATGAATGTATATACCAGAAGAATTAAAATATTGAATGGAGAACATGTAAAGAGAAAAATGGCAATTAATCTTACGGTGTATTTACTAGAGAGTGATTGAACATGATCAAATGACCATAGTGGTGGCGCATAGTTAGCTGATCGTCTGTTGAGTGACTTATCCTCGGTGACAGCCATTGATTTGGACTGTGATGATGAACATAATGGCTTGCAAACATCAAAGC